ATTCCAGTCACTTGAATCTTATAAAAACTACACTATGTCAATCCTATATTCAATGAGCAACAATTAAATAAAAGGATTACTTTTGTTAATTAAGTAATGTCTTATTTACTTAAAATACTAGAAAATGTGCCATGCATACAGAAGGATATATAACATTTACGAGAACAATTAAAAAAACATAAATATGTATGTACCCATTACTTAGATTAGGTAGACTATTCAGGGACATAGAAATGCACTGTTTGTCCCTCCTCCAATGCATCCATCTTCTTACCCCAAAAAGTAAACATTACTCTAATTTTTGGGTTCATTGATCCCTTGTTTTAATTTATAGACTCATGACACAAATATTCTTAATTAAATATTCCTCAGGTGGGGAAAAAAAGGGAAAGAATAGCTTAGTAGCAAGCACGGATATTCCTGTGTAAGCAAAGGGTGGCGTTGCCACTAGGAGATGACGACTTCCAGGAGGAAAGAAACTCAGCCGAGTCCATGGGTCATGATTTGGAGTCAGGGTCCCTGAGCATTTCAAGAATCCTTACTAGGGAAGTCAGTGGGCAGGGAAGTGAGGGAGGCCTACCAAGCACAGGGCTCGCCATAGTTGAGCAGCTGGCCCAGAGATTAGATATTTAGCAAAAATGGGGGTCAGAGGGCTCCACCCTTGAGGCGAGCACTTCTCAATCACTACCACCTTTGGGGTTTAGGCCTTAACATGTGAGTGGGGTTTAAGGGGGTGCATTTAGACATAGCATTCAGTATCCTCTAAGATTTTTCTTAAATGCTTGGCTTTTTTTTTTTTTAAAGATTTATTTATTTATAAAAGAACCGGGGTACAGGCCAGATGCGCAGGAGGATGAGAGGATTCACCAGAGACAGAGCGGGGAACACAACAGGCAGACTGACTGAAATACACTGCTGAGGGGAGCAGCGGGCAAGACAGGAGAGGTCTGCTGCGTCATGTGGGACCCTTGCTGGCTGGCCAGGATTGAACCGGTGCTGCAGAGGCTGTCCGCAGGACAGCTTCACAGCGCTGCACTCAACCGCCTGTGCCACCAGAGGAGGCCCATGCATGGCTTCTTATTTTGTTAATGACCTTACCTACCACGCTAGTCAGCTGCCACCCTCTTGCTTATATCAAAACACTCGTCATGATAGTTACAACTTGTCCATATTCAAGCATCTTTCCAACTTGTCATCTCTATCATCAGCAACTCTTCACCCCCAACCAGATTTGTAAACTTTTTTTTTCAAAGGTTTATTTATGCATGGAAGAACTTGGTGCTGGAGTGAGATAATTCACCCGAGACATAGTGGGGAGCAGAACAGACGGATCCACTGAAACACACTGCTGCGGGGAGCAACGGGTGAGACAGGAGAAGTCTGCTGGGTCATATGTGGGTTAGCTCGCTGAATGTGATCAAACTCATGTCCCAGTGGGAATAGCATGATAGCAGTGAGAGTAACCCATTGGCCACCAGGGAGGTCCCAGATTTGCATACCTTTCACCCTACATTTTCATTGTCCTCCACCTTCCTGCAAATTTACTTTGCTTCTTACCTCGCTTGTACTCCAAGGACAATTGTAAGTGTGACATATTTGCACATGCATTGCTCTCCCCTGCTCCTCTCTTGCTTCACTATATACACCAAGGGAAAATCAACTCTAAATCCAATTCTGTTCGTTTTGTGCTTGTACTTTGCAAGTGCAAAACGCACCCAGACTAGTGCAACTGGATTCCCTTTGTTTATTTTTCTGACTGGTTCTAATAATTTTTAGTTACAAGAACAGTACAAAGGCTGATAGCCTTTACTAGATTCCCCAAACATTTCCATGTTTGCTTTGTTATATTATTCTCTCTCTGTGTATAATTTCTTTTTCTGAATAATTTGGGAGTGAGTTAAACCTAAATACATCATTGAAACCTAAATAATATATATCAGTATGTTTCATAAAACAAGGATATTCTCATACATAAACATAGCACAGTAATCAAATAGTAAATTTAAAACATTTTGAATAAATGCTATACTCTAGTCTGCAGACTTTGTTCAGTTTTCCTGTTGTCTCCATAATTTCTTTTTATTTTTTGTATTTTTTATTACTAATAATGTTTTTTTTAATAACAAATTTCTTTTCTGGTTAAGAATCCAATGTAAGGTTACACATCAAACTCCCAGAACTTTGAGCTCCAGTATCCCACATCTGGGATAAGAAAACCCTTATCCCACATATCCCTGTGGGGTCGTCCCTTCTTCACTTGTGTCTTTATGTGTGAGAGAACATCACCTTTTCAGTGAACCCATCACTTTCTTATTCAAAATCTTCCTGTTATTTCCCTGCTTTGTTTGTCTCCTCAGTTATTATCACCATTTGATAATATATAATTTTACCTATCATCTGCCTTCTCATTTTGGAATATATACTTGATGAAGATTGAATTTTCATCTATTTTATTTATGTATCCCCAGCTCTCAGAAGTAACTGGCCCGTAAGAGGGTCTCAATGTGTGTCTATTGTATTAATGATTACAATCCACTTTAAATCTTTTTATTTCAATACAGTGGTACAGAGACATCAATATTAAGACATGTCACAGTTCATGAATATAGCACAGTTTTATGAATGATAAAACAGAAATAAATTAGCATGCATTCAAGTTTAGTCCTGTAATAAACCTAAATCTTATATTTTATATAGATGCTTATCTTTGTTTCTATAATTTAAATTCTGCTAAAACCAAGTATTGTGACTTTTAAAGAGCAGGCTCCTCAGAAATCTATCTGAGTCATATAATGACTTCATAAGTTTTCACTGAGCAAATATACTATAATTTACTTAATATCTTTTACATCTTATTTTTTTGATGTTTACTTTCTATTACTTCACAAGTATTAAAAATGCTACTGAGAATGTTCTGGTGAGTGAAAGACTGTTTCTTCAGTGTAGCTTTCCAGAAAAGGACTTATTAAGTACCAATTTATACCATCACACAGTTGGGATATAACAATGGTACTCATTTAAAATATGCAGTTCTTTGGCTACCATATATTAAAAAGAGCAAACATTAATTGAAAAATTATTCATTGCTAGAGGTTGTGCTATTTTATATTTATACAGATAATCATGTTTGAGTCCATTATTACTTGTTATGGACTGAATGGATCCCCTCTAAATTACTATGTGGAAGCCCTAACCCCCAATGTGACTGTATTAGGGATAAGGAAGTAATTAAAGTTAATTGAATTCATAAAGTTGGAGTCCTGATCCAACAGGAGCAGAGACATCACAGAGCATGCCATGTGAGGACAGAGAAAGAAAGTATCATGTACAAGCCAGGAGGAAAAATTTTCCTCAGAAACCAAATCAGCTAGAACCTTGATTGATCTTGGACTTCTAGCCTCCAGAACTATGAGAAAACAAATTTCTGTTGCTCAAGACGCCTCATCTGTGGTATTCTTTTCATGGTAGCCCAAGTAGTCCCATACAATAGTGTTGCTCTCCCTCTGTAATAAATGAGGAATCAGGCAAGGAGGGATTAGGTGCTGTGCCAATACATTGGAGAGCCAAAATTCAAGCCCCAGACAATTTTCCCTTCAGGGAAAACCATTTGTTTTGTCCAGCCAATGGGATGGTCTACTCGTGTCCATTGTTCATTTTATCTATGAAGCCTCCTTTTTTTAAAATATATTTTTGATATATATTTTTTATATGATTGTTCATTTTTAAACAATGTTTGCTTCCCCTCCAGCCTCCATAGTGAAGCCTTCTATTTTTAAAATAACTTTAAAAAAAAAGATTATTTATGCATACAAGAGCTGGGGTACAGGCCAGAGATGTAGGGGTGAGGGGGTGAGAGAATTCACCAGAGACAAAGCTGGGAACAGAACAGGCAGACTGACTGAAATACACTGCTGAGGGGCGCAGCAGGGGAGACAGGAGAGGTCTGCTGCACCATGTGGGTTTCTCTCTGGCTGGCCGGGGATAGAACTCATGCTGCAGAGGCTGCGGATTGCTTCATAGTGCAGTGCTTAACCCCTTGTGCCACCAGGGAGGCCCTTTTTAAAATAACTTACTGAAGTTTGAGTTGATAGAATCATTTAAGCACAAATCTAATAAGGACATCCTCCTACAGAACCACAGAGTATTAATTATCCATAAATATCAACAAATCACTCCACGAATCATCAATTACTCCATAATATCAACTCTAATATACATTGCATGATCAAGCTTCCCAATTGTTCAAGAATGTCTTCTTACAGCTGTTTTCTTGGGAACCAGCATCTGCAACATCAATAACTTTTTTTAAAAAAAAAGATTTATTTATTTATGCACACAAGAGCTGGGTTTAGGCCAGAGGTGGGGGGGCAATGGTGAAAGGATTCACCAGAGACAGAGTGGGGAACAGAACAGGCAGACCGACTGAGATACACTGCTGAGGGGAGCAGTGGGCGAGTCAGGAGAGGTCTGCTGTGCCATGTTGGTAGGCCCCGATCCCGGCCCACCGGGAATCGAATTCGTGCTGTAGTAGCTGTGGACAGCTACATAGGTTGCATCTTAACCCCTTGCGCCACCAGGGAGGCCCAACGTCAATAACTTTTTGACAGTAACTTCAACCCCTTATTTGAAATCTACAGCTCAATTTACTTTTTTGCACATTGTAGTAGAGTATGTATTGCAAAGGGGGTTGCTTTGAGAGGAGTGACTTGCGCTTGAGTCTTTTCAAGGCTGGCACAAGAGTTTCAGGTTGGGAAACGCGTAAGGACAAGGGCTATTGCGGATCCCCAGTAAAGACAGGTCTCCAGACCAAAAAAAAAAAAAAAAAAACTGTGGTTACTCAAAGGCTGGCATCCTCAACTGCCGCCAGAGGGAGCAAGGCGCCCCAGCAGGAGCTCAGGTGGCCCTCGGAGGGCGCTCGGCGCGGGAGAGACGCGCGGGGTCGCGCCCGGCCGCTCCCAGCCCTCCGGGGGGCGCGCGCGCTTCCGCGGGAGGGAGCCGCGATGGAGGCCGCTCCCGCTGTCAGGCAGGTAAGCGGTCTGGCCGGGGCGGGTTCCCGAGCGATGGCTTGCCTGACAAACTTCCTCACCACGGTGGTTTGCACTCTCTCAGGTCAATGCTAATAAATCCCTCCCTTCCCTTTCCTTGGCGCTCCTAGAAGTAACTTGGAAAGTTGTTACCGGGGAGACGGTCTCCTGTGCTTCCTGCGAGCCTTTTCCCACCCGGGCGGTGTTTGGAGCCTCTGCCTCTCTGTGAGCTGGGGGTGTTGGAATTTGGTCTCGAAACGTCCAGGTCCCCACGTCCCAGCGCAAGCAGGTGCAATCAGGCTCCATTGTCGGGAGACTGACCCTGTATCTATCACGTTTATCCACTCTCATCCCTTCCCGTAGCTATCAGTCTTTGATAAAAAGGAGCCCAGACTCTAGATGGTTTCCATCACTGTGCTGTTAGCCAAGTTTTTGGTTTCAAGTAGTTTTGTCCACTACCTGATTTGATAAAACGAAGAACTTAGGAATCTTTAGAGGGGAGCCTACTTTTGTTGTAGGGTGCCCTCCTATCTGAACACTACCCTCATTACTTTTCCTTTGGTTGTGTGTAGGTATTTTACTTTCAGAGAAGTGCAGTCAGTGCTTTACCTTTTATTGGAGTAGTATTTTACATTTTACAAAAGAATAGAGGCGCTCAGATAATTGGCCTTCCAGGTTCTGCATTTGCAGATTCAACCAAAAAGTATGCACAGCATTATGTAGTTAGACCTGTGGTAGTTGAGCCTGTACTGAACATGAATAGACTTTTTTTCCGTGTCATTATTCTCTAAACAATTTACATAGCATTTGCTTTGTATTAGGTATTATAAGGAAACTAGAGATGATTTAAAGTATTAAGGAGGAAGTGCCCAGGTTATATGCAAACACTGTGGCATTTTATATAAAGGACATCCACAGATTTGGGTATGGGGGTGGGGGATCCAGGAACCAATTCCTGTGGATATGGAGGGACAAATATATTTCAACTAAGTCTCAAAGCATTACTATGAAATACACAAAATAGATAATCATGAACCCAATCAATTATTGACCTATGTCTTGGCAGGGTGTTTGGGATAAGATGGTGAGAATATAGACATGATCCCTGCTCTCAGTGAGCTTATTGTCTAGAGGAAAGAACAGTTATCCCTACTGCAGATTCAAGGAAACAGATTTAGTGTGATTGAGTTACCATCATAGGCCACATAGAAGTTAGAGAGGTAAGAATGTGTAACAGCTATCTCACAAAGTCAGAATGAATCCCTCCTGAGAATTTGGATTTAGAAACTGATAATCACACACATGCAAACGCACACGTGTGCACACACAGAATATGAAAAGTTTTATTATATGTGTTAGCTGTTGCTTATATAATCAAAAAGGAAGAGCAGTGGGCCTCCCCGGTGGCACAGCAGTTGAGCGCTAGGTTGCGAGGCTGCCCGCAGCCTCTGCAGCGCCGGTTTGATCCCCAGCTGCTCCCCGGCCTCCAGAGGAGGGTCCCACATGACGTGCAGACCTCTCCTGCCACCTGCTGCTCCCCTCAGCAGTGTACTTCTGTCCTTCTGCCTGCTCTGCTTCCCCGCTCTGGCTCTGGTGAATTCTCTCACCCTCCCGCGCTTCTGACTGTACCCAGTGCTTGTATAAATAAATAAAAATAAATCTTAAAAAAAAAAAGAACTTAAAAAAAATCAAATATAAAAAAGGGAAGAGCAGGACAGGCTTCTCAAGCTGGTTTCAAATGACTTGAAAGCCAGGAAAGGAAACTGGCTTCAGGTTTTTATTGGGGTTGAGGTGAGTTCAGGATGAGGGTTCCTATGTGCCAACAGAAGCTTGCTTGGTTGAATTCTCCGCCAATGCCAAAGGAAACACCCAGGCTTTTTTTTTAAAACCAGCATATCTATTTGAGGAGTAGAAAGAGATACAAGGAGGGGTGAAGTGTGAGTCTGCTAGACTTAAATGGCCTGCTCGGCCACCATTTTGCATAAGTGCAGTCTGCCCTCCAATACAAGGTCAGAACAGCCTGGTCAGCTATATGACCTAAAAGAATGTAATATACCAGACCCTACAATGTTCCTTTCAAATTGAGCAAGATCAGGATGCTTGATCACGCTAGGATAATGGGCATACGTTACGAGGTCTGCACCCCAGACACTGATCAATGGAACATCTTGTCGATAACATTGGAACCACGGCTGGGTGTCTGGGCTATGGTTTCAATTACAACACTTGGTCATCAAACAGATAAAAAATATCTGGTCAGCAGGCTCATGTCCCCCTGAAGCCCATTTTCAGTTTTACCACCCTTTTTCTCTTTTTTCTCCTACCCTGCATACTTGACGCTGTATGATTATTCTGTTAATAGAAAGGCCAGGATCTTACTTGTTTAGCAGCATCCTGCATCGTGTAGCCTGCTCCATGACTCCCGTTTCTTTATCAGTGTGGTGATGCCAACACAACAGTGAAGGTAAAAACTGTCAACAGGCAAACATTAAAAAAAGAAAAGAAGAATGAGAGAGACTCCTTTTCATAATTTACCCCAATGTTTAATTTGTGATTGAAATGTTCCATTTTTTAATTTAATTGAATTCGAATTTACGTAAGCCATGAAGTATAGCCATGAACTTAAGTATAGCCTGAAGCCAGTAAGGAAGGTGAATGCTATGTTAAAGAGTCCAACAATGTGTATTTTGAGAAATAAAATGAGTACCTTGGTCACTACCAGTTAAGTCTGGGAAATAGGAGTTTCTGTGTGAGGCCTTTTATTGTGGACCTTGATAGACATTTTGAGTTTGAGTTTCTGTGAATCAAGAGAGTTCCAGAATTCTTTACCACAAAGGGGTCAATTCTTAGGTTATGGCCCAGGAGTTTATACATATATGTAGATGGAGTCAGCATCAGCTAGAACATTCAGTGTTAAGATGACTGAAGTCCACCCAGTTTTTCTGACCCCTTGGTCCTTTCCTTTATCACGTACATGGTGGTTATGGGATGAATAGCAGCAGATCTCCAGCGAGCTCCCTCATTTGTAATGGTGGTAATGCTGTCCACCAAATAGATAGTTTGTCCACCAAACTTCAAATGGGATTTGAAATGTACAAACTCCTATTGCTGTCCACTCACTTGAACCCAAGTCATGCCCCAGGTAGACAAGGGGTCTGGAGGTGGGGTGACCTCTTCTAGCACTATGGCATCTGACAAAGGAGAGGAGAGACCATGCCCTCCTGTAGGTACCATTTGCTAGAGGGTTTAATCCTGTAACAAGGTTCTATCCTGTAACAAGGAGGCCTTGGAGGCTGTGTTGAGCTTGCAGGGTGCTGCTTTCAGAACGCAGAGGGATGCTGGGTACAAGGATTTACAGGCTCAGGCTTGTGAGAGCCTCTCTTTCCAGGAGAGAACAATATGCTATGAGTAATTGCTGCTTTAATGGCATGTAGTATGGGGCTGACGAGATTGTTTCTTCCATCAGAAGCCTAGAGACAATGAACGGATGTTATGAGTGGCCCAGAAACAACATGAAGAGGCTACTAAAGTCTCTAGTATCATGAAGAGTTGATTCTGTATGTTGGGGGTTGCAGGGGGAGGTGGGGAGTAGCACTAATGGGAGTGTCTGTTATAATTTTAACAAATTCTAGAATCTCTTTTGAGAGGGGATCCTATTCATTGTGGGTTGACATGCAAATAACAGCATAAATGGACTTAAATAAAATATTACCTCTGGAACCTAAAAAGTCCTAAAAGATATGGGCTTGCTTTTATGTTGTGGGTGCTAAGAGGGTTAATAGCTGTTTCTTGACATTGTGAGATTTACCAAATGATTTAGTCAAGGTGGCAGGCCTAGGCCCTAACCCTATATATGGGGCAATTGACCTTTTTTTTTTTTTTTCGTGAGTGCCTTTGTGAGTATATGAATGTCTTTGACTATGGCAAAATAATGTTCTCAGGAGTGGATGTCATCAAATAATGTTATACTTGTGTTCCTGGAAAAAGTTGAATACAATTAAGACAGTGATTCTAAAGGCAAAGCCTTTGAGGTATCCTAAGGATAGCCAGGTAAAGGTGTATTGTGTCCCTCTAAAGGTGAAGGCAGACTGACTGAGAGGCTGTTGAAAGAAGCACTAAACAACATGATAAGTCCATCAAATTCATATTAAAATATTTACTAGTTTTTGATTGAATAGAGTCAGTAATTTCTGTAGTATTGGAATTAAGGATACAATAATCAACTGTGAGACACCATCCATTCTTTCCAATTTAAAACCTATAATGTAGCTTAACAGGCCACGTTGGGCTGTTAAATGCAAAAGCAATAGGGAATAATTACTCTTTTACTAATTAGATTTTTATAGTAAGTCTCAATCTTTGAAGGCCCTATTTTATTTTACATTGAACTATACTAAATATTTTAACAACAAATTAGGGATGGTGATACATGGGGTCCAACTTAAAAAAAAAAACAAACAAACAAGAAAAAACAGTGGGCCACCCTGGTGGTGCAGGGATTAAAATCTCAGTGCTATCAAGCCATCGCCAGCCACTGTGGCATGAATTTAATTTGATCCAATTCGATCCCCACCATGGAGCTAACTCACATATGGCACAGCAGACCTCTCCTGTCTCACCCACTACTCCCTTCAGCAGAGTATTTCAGTAGATCCACCTATTCTGCTCCCCCCTCTGTCTCTAGTGAATTCTGTCACTCCCTGCACCTCTGCCCTACATCCCAGTTCTTGTTTGCATAAATAAATAAAATAAATCTTTTTTACAAAGCAATTTATAAGCTCCAAATATTTTATTTAAATTGATTGTTCTCTGAAGCAGAGTGCCTATTACCCCTACAGGACATTTTAGGGCAATGTGCACTATGACCAGGGAGGACATAGACAAGCAGTGTTCTGATGGTTAAGGTGAGGTATACTTAATTGTTGTCTATTTTATGTTGAGTAACTCCCCCCAAACTCACAGGGGGTACCTTGTTTAAATGTAGTGGGATCTCCAGGTAGAATTGTAGTTTGAACCTAGTATTGATTAAAGTTATGAAGATTCGGGGACTCCCTGGTGGCGCAGCGGTTGAGCGCTGGGTTGCGAAGCAGCCCGCAGCCTCTGCAGCGCGGGTTCGATACCCGGCTGCTCCCGGCCACTGGAGGAGGGTCCCACATGACATACAGACCTCTCCTGCCGCCTGCTGCTCCCCTCAGCAGTGAACTTCTGTCCTTCTGCCTGCTCTGCTTCCCCGCTCTGGCTCTGGTGAATTCCCTCACCCTCCCGCGCTTCTGACTGTACCCAGTGCTTGTATAAATAAATAAATAAATATTAAAAAAAATAAAGTTATGAAGATTCACCAACTGGAGGATTTCAATGGATTTTGAATTTAAAGCCTGTAATGTAGAGGTGCAAAAATGAATCTTTTTTGTTGTTGTTGTTGTACATGTTATTTTAATAAAGAATGATTTCCAACTGAGTCAAATTGTGAATTTTTGTCTTATTTGTTTATTCTTCCCACTATATCCAAATTTGCTTCTTTTGTTGTCTCTCTTTTTGGTGATTAGTGAATGTACTTCTGGCGGAGGGGGTCCTCTCTATGTCTTCGTATTCACAAATTTCTCTCACTGAGAACTTCATCTCAGTATCATCACAGTTAGGGGCTTTCCCATGGCTGTGTTTCCTTTATAGAGTTTAAAAATCCCAAGCTTAAATTGAATTTGAATTATTCCTTTGCTGTGCCCTGCTAATGCCATGGGTCCTTTTCCCTGTAACCCTGAGAATCAGGATTGTTGTTAAAACAGCAGCATAGGTGGCAGCCCCAGAAGAATTTAAGGGTCCTGTTTATCTATGTGCTCTTATAACAACTGTTCCCCTCCCACACCCTCCTGTTACACTCTTTTCCTTTATTTTTAACTCGATAATGACTGCTTTTTCATGAGTTTCCACCCTTTCAGCCTTTATCTTGCACAAAGCATAATCTTTCCCACGAGTGCTCTATAGACTGGAGGCCAGTGCCTGGTTGAGATAAGGGACTCATTTATTTTAACCCCATTGTTTGTATGAATCAGAGTTTATTAATTTCCCTATCAATGGATGGTAAAGTTGCTTCTAATTCCCTCATATTTTAAATATTCTTTTCACCATGTGCACATTAAAAGTTGCTAGATTGTAGTACATACCCATCTTGGACCCTTGTAGACATTGCAGATTTTCTCCATAGAGGTTGAATCTGTTGATGCCCCCATTATATCATATTTTTACTGTTTAATTGTAGCTGACTGAGAACTTTTATTTTTTTTATTAGTTTTTATTTTTTTAAAGATTTATTTATGTATACAAAAGCTAGGATACAGGCCAAAGGTGTGGGGGGTGAGAGGATTCCCCAGAGACAGTGGGGAACAGAACAGGCAGATCGACTGAAATACACTGCTGTGGGGAGCAGTGGGAGAGACAGGAGAGGTCTGCTGCGCCTTGTGGGTTGCTCCCGGGCAGACCTGTGATGCAGTGCTTGCGTCTTAACCCCTTGCGCCACCAGGGGGACCCTGCTGACTGAGAACTTTTAAAGGCTAAGGACTTTGTTTTACTCACTTTGCACCCTTAGTGCCAACTTAACTCCTTAATAAATAGTAGTAGCTGGAAAATGTTTGTTGCATGGACTATAGAAGCAGAAACATACTACTTACTGTTTTCTGAAAGCTTGAATATTTTCCTTTTAAAGTTAATTCATATAATTTGAACATTAATTCTTTTCCTTTTAAAATGTGTATTTCTCAATAAGTAACTTAACTTGTTTGATACTTGTTCCAGGTAATAAAGGAAGGGGATTCAAGCTTTGCCACAGGAAGAGTTAGAGGAAAACCCTAGTCCTATTGTTGATGAGAATAATACAGTGTCAGCGAAAAACAGGGACCAAAGGTACATAACTGGAGTGGTGACTGGAGCTTTTGGGTAATATTTTTTTTTTTAAACAATTTTTTTTTAAAGAGGCACATATTTTATTTATTTATTTGTTTGTTTGTTTATACATGCACTGGGTACAGTCAGAAGCGCGGGAGGGTGAGAGAATTCACCAGAGCCAGAGCGGGGAGCAGAACAGGCAGAAGGACTGAAGTACACTGCTGAGGGGAGCAGAATTACTTCCTGTACCTAAAAGGAAGTTTAACAATGTTTGACCTACAGCATGTAGTGATTACATGATAGGTTTTTATTTTTTTGGGAAAAGAATGAGACTTTAATCAGTTTTAAGTGGAAGAATAAGCTTTAAAGTTAGGAGTTTTCTCTGGTGAATTCTCTCACCCTCCCACGCTTCTGACTGTACCCAGTGCTTGTATAAATAAATAAATAAAAATAAATCTTTAAAAAAAAATAAAATAAAGTTAGGAGTTTTCTGTTCTTTTTATATTGTGTTCACTTGATTGTATAACCTGGCTATGCTTAAGGTTTCTCCACTGTAAAATGAGACCACTGCTTGTTGACTGGGTGCATGGAGTCTTTCTGTAAGAACAACATTTCTGTTACTATATAAATGCTAGCATTTATTACATATTACAGGATTCATTATAAAACTACCAATTCCTATGATAATTATGAACCATTTAGTAGGTTTTGGAATAATGCAGCTGTAAGTGGAATTTCCTTAAGATTCTATTATATATATATATATATATAGTTCCAATATTAATTCATTAGAAAGCTGATATCTTGAGGATTAGGTATAATTGGTAGCAGAATTTTTTATAATTTTAAAATATATTAAAAGAATATTAATAGGTTATAAGGATTAGTACAAGTGTTCAAAATTAGCTAATTTATTCAATGTTATGAATCTTAGCATGAATAACAGTTCTTCCTAAGAAGGTTAACATTATATTTTTTAAAACCATATCCTAAGGAAAATAGTTAATTTCTAAGAACTATACTAATATAACTACATATCATGTCATTTATATTGTTTATATTCTTTTTGGACACACTTAGAGAAAGTTTATGACTATTATAGTGTTTGATCCTTCTGCGCTGTGATTTTTGTAGCTTGTGTTACAGGTTAGAGAATCTTTATAGCTCCAAGAGCTATCTGTAGGGCTAAGCAGTTATCTGTGGATTACTGTTGGCCACTTTAAGCAGAAAAAGAAAAAAAAATGTTAAAGCAAGGAAAGGAAAAGTTGAGGGAATGAGATGATTTGGAATAGAAGGTAAGAGGAAAAAAAGATTGTGTTCTAGTGCTTTGCTACTCTAAAGTACAGATAAATAGGACCAGAGGACTCAGCATCATCTGCCAACCGATTTGAAATGCAGAATCATGACCCCCTGAATCAGAATTTTCATTTTCAAAAGATTTCCAAGTGATTTATATGTACATTAAAGTGTGAAAAGCCTTGGTTTAGAGTGTTGAAGGTCTGTTTTTGTTCAGTCTCCGTGCTGATTGCAAGCACAGAGGAATTTGAGGAATTTTTATATGAATTTACATAGAATAGTCTTAAGTATACAATATCTCAGAAGTTTTAGACTTTTCCAGAGGTCACTTACCCAGAAACCAGAATTATCAGAACTCAGAAGCAAACAAAACCATAAAAGATCCTGAACATATTTAAATCAAAATTAATGCCAGTGTATCTTGTAATAAAAGAGTTCCTCGAGTCTTCATGTGGAGTATTTTTATTATATTTTCTGACACAGTTTTTATAAGCCGAAAGAAGTTGGTTCCCATTTTGTAGTTGAATAGAATATTGGGGATAGGAAGTTACATGATGATAACACATGTAGAGTAACAAGAAATGATAGAATTTCAAAAAGTGTGGCAACCTGGGCCTCTTAATATGGAGACCAGAGGTCTGTGCAGGTCAGCTGGCCCTAATATAGTATAACTGGCAGAAGGGATAGTTAAGAAGTCTGGAAGGTAAATAATGGTTTTTTTTCCTCTGTCATTTTAAATTCTTTTTTCTACCTGGGGACTTTAAATTGTCACTGTTTTCACCATTGTGATAAAGTAGCAGTTGAATGAGGACAGTAAGAGTGGAGTTCCTGAAGGATACAAATGTAACACAAAGAAGGCCAGTAATAGAAAAGTATTCATGAGGTAGGTAGTTAGGCAAAGAATTAAAAGGATGTCAGAGCCATTCCACTGGAACATTCAAGAAAAGTGGATTTGCGATTTTTCACTTTAGGAAGGTTTCTTACCAAAACGCATTTAAAGAGTTAAGCTTCAACATAACTTCACCAGTTAAGTTCACTGGTGTAGAGTAACTCATCTGTTCTAGCCTGGCTACCTCAGTTATTCCAAGTAGTGAATTTAGTGGGCAGCATGATAAAATTGAACACTTTGGAGACTGGGAACAAAATACCTGGGACAGCGTGTATGCTCTGTCTCTGGTGGATGCACTGTGTGGTGTTCTTGAGTATGTTGTTTAACCTGTCTGGCTCTGGTGACTTATAAATTTAGGGATTGGATCACTGTGTTGCAACACTGTTATATCTTGAACCAATAAGAAAAAATGATAACTAAATGCTCTAATTTATAGTCCTGGCAGCTATATGTATCAGTCATAAAAATACCCCAGGTGCCTCAATGAGTGTACATTATGGGGGAACACCTTTGTCTAAGATTGTCCCAGGGATGGGTGGGAGAGGACAATATGGGAAGGGGGCACAATGGACTATGGTGAAGAACTGTGAGTGGCTTGGCAGTGGGTGTGATGTGGTAATATACACCTGGAGGGTGTGATCCTCTATCTGTAAATCATATACAATGTTGTAAACCAATGTTAACTCGATAAAAATAAACAAACTTTTAAAAAATAAAAATAGGAAAAAAATTGCCCCAGGGATAAAATGTGGAAAAGTTCTAGATAAGAGTGACTACTATTTGTAATATAGGAAAATATATATTGATGCTTCCCCACAAATTAAAAAAAAGTTTTGAAAACCTAACAAAAGGCTACCAGAGAGTGAATCAGAGCTTATCAATGGGTGCTTTGTTTGATTTTTTTTTTATTGAGTTTGATTTAATTTGTGCTGCTTAATAGATTGGCTAATAGGTGCCTTTCTGACAGCAGAACTTAAAAGAAGTAGGCTTAAATTGTCATAGCAATTGATAGCAAAATCAACAATTATAGATTTTCTGCTTCAACCCTAAATATATAAGAATCTTAATTTTTATGTTTGTTTTGTTTAGAAATGACAATCTTTAGTTGTAGTATGTGGAAATGACTTTTACTATTAACTTCTAGAATTATGTGAAAGAATTATGTGAAATGGGCCTTCCCTGGTGGTCTGAGGGTTAAGTCTCAGCATTATCATCATGACAGCATATGTCACCTGGCCAGGGAGCTAAGACACTTATAGCACAGCAGACCTCTCCTGCCTTGCTAGCTCCCTGTATTTTAGTAAATCCTCCTGCTCTGCTCCCCATCTGTCTCTGGTGAATCCTCTCACCCCCTGCACCTCTGGCCTACACCCCAGTTCTACACAAAATAAAATCTTAAAAAAAAAATGTGAACCGAAGAAATGAAATTTAAAATAAAGCTAATGACACATAACTATTTATGCTTAAGAATTTAACTTTTAGGAAAAATGTATTGTAAAAGAAAACCCACAAACAAAAAAATCTTTTTTTCTTCTAAGTGGATTAAAATCTCAGGAAAAGAATACAGTGATCTGAAGCAGATGCTTTTATTTAATATAACTTGTATTAGTGATGTAGAGCTAGCAGCTATAGGGAGTAGAAAAAAGCCTTTGAGATTTCTGTTGTGTGTGGAAGATGACATACTTAATGGATTAAAAAGTACTAGTAACAGTATTTTGGGTAAGCTACTTAATATTAAACTTTTTTGTACTTTGGTATTTCATTTAAATTAAGTTGTTCTTTAAAAATATTTGTCATGGGCCTCCCCGGTGGCGCAGTGTTTGAGCACTGGTTTGCGAAGCTGCCCGCGGCCTCTGGGCGCCGGTTCGATCACCGGCTGCTCCCCGGCCACCGGAGGAGGGTCCCACATGGCGCGCAGACCTCTCCTGCCGCCCGCTGCTCCCCTCAGCAGTGTACTTCGGTCCTTCTGCCTGCTCTGCTCCCCGCTCTGGCTCTGGTGAATTCTCTCACCCTCCCGCGCTTCTGACTGTACCCAGTGCTTGTATAAATAAACAAATAAATCTTTAGAAAAAAATTGTCATTAGTATATACTTATTTCTTTTTTTTTTAAGATTTATTTTTATTTATTTATACAAACACCCTCCTCCGGTGGCCGGGGAGCAGCCGGGGATCGAGCCGGCGCTGCAGAGGCTGCGGGCAGCTTCGCAATCCAGCGCTCAGCCGCTGCGCCACCGGGGAGGCCCCTATACTTATTTCTTAATAGCTGATTTAGTTGATAATTGGACTTAAAAGTGGAGGAATTTATAAAATTCTCTGAATTATGTAACTAAAATGAAATTTGTTTAGGGTGGGCCTCCCCGGTGGCGCAGCGGTTGAGCGCTGGGTTGCGAAGCTGCCCGCGGCCTCGGAGGCGCCGGTTCGATCCCCAGCTGCTCCCCGGCCACCGGAGGAGGGTCCCACATGGCGCGCAGACCTCTCCTGCCGCCCGCTGCTCCCCTCAGCAGTGTACTTCGGTCCTTCTGCCTGCTCTGCTCCCCGCTCTGGCTCTGGTGAATTCTCTCACCCTCCCGCACTTCTGACTGTACCCAGTGCTTGTATAAACAAAAACAAACAAACAAACAAATAAATAAATAAATAAAACATGCCTCTAAAAAAAAAAAAAAAGAAATTTGTTTAGGGAGCCTTGGTGTTTTTTTCTTTGAATAATTATTTATTTGAAAAATTTAACAAATATAAATAGAAAAAAGAAGATAGGCAATCTTATATTCCTCATGTCTTTGATATAGAAAGAGAATAGAAAAAAAGAAAGATGGAGTAGAGGGCCTCCATGTTGGCGCAGGTGGTTGAGCGCCGCACTATGAAGCTG